TCCTAAGACTACAGCTTAAAACTTTGGACCAGGGAAGCCAGGAATAATGGAAAAAATCACACAGAAGCCTAGATACTAACTCAAGCTCTTCCATAAACTAGCTTTGCCACCTTATAAGTAACTTATTTCTATACTTCAACTTTCTTACCTATATTAATATGAAATTGCACTAGTGGAAAGATCCCACACTTGGCTTTCCTGATTTCATTCCCCAGCTTCGCCCACCTGGCACACATAAACTAGGTTCAGTACGTTCAAGGAGAGGCCATACGATTGGTCTAGGATATACAGGGTGGGACAAAAGTAGGTTTCCAGTTGTGAGGATGCAAAACACAGAGGTTATTCCCATATTATTGTTTATTGTATGATTTCCCATATGAACTGCTGTAACCCTGCTTTTGACCCACCCTGTATATATATTCTAGCTTTAATACTTGAGTTTTTACCTTTTGAAGTATATAAACTTTTTCATAATTTTTTTTCCAGGTAGACAATAATCCCCACAAGGGTAGGGAATGCCTTCCCTGATACATCTTCGTACCACCTGGCTCACTTGGCATCTAGCACGCTGTTCAGAAAGGCTGATGCTGAAGAGGCATCATAGTCCCCTGGCTAAATCTGAAGAGAGTAAGTGAGGAACACCCTGAGTAGTTGAAAACTTATTTAGAAAGCTTCTGAATAAGAAAAAGAATGAGCTAGATAGCAAAAACACTTTTCCAGTTTAGAAGTACCCCTCTCAGTAAAGTGGAGATTTCTCTAAAATGTCTATGTCTCCTGAACCTTACTTTCCTTGATGCATACGCTTTTGAAAGGCCAATTACATTTGGGAAAATACCATGATAAACTCTCCTAATCACACTTGGGCAAAATGGGCAAGTAGTTTCAGTTTACCACATGTGAATGTTGGTGGGGCCTGGGAGAGAGAAGTTTGAGTCTGCTTCTCCTTTGGTAACAGTTTCTTTTGTATATTACATTCACAAGTCCTTTCTAACTTCTTTCAGTGGTAGGATTGCAGAGGTGGTCCAGACACCACAAGGAAAGAAGTTACTCTGCCCCCTGCTGGCCATAAGCAGAAGGGCCTGAGCTCCTTTTGGCTTATTACTAGAGGTCTCATATCTCCTTCACAGATGTAACTTGTGAAGGGATGCAAGATTGAAAGGGAAAGGAAGAATGGGCTTCCTTTTTTAAATTAGCCCGAACTGTTTTAGGTGTCAAGAAATCATTTAGATCGAATATCCTCAAGCTCTTCATTTTGTGAGCCTAAACCTGAGGTTGATGCACCTACATCAGCTACAGGAACAAGGGGAGGGGCACAAGCCAGGAAAAGCCCTGGTCAGCATGCCAACATCTTGCTCCCTCTCCCTGAAGGATGGAAGTGGACAGCCCACACACATCCTATTTTAAGGACGGCTATCTTCTTTAAAGATTTAGGGCCCCACACCAGCTTCTCCCCTGAATGGTGTCTTCAATATTTTCTTCCCTCTCCCCAAACCCCAATAAAACACACCAACTGCTTCAGAGTATTTCTGGGTTGGGTTTTATCGTGGGTCTTTTTTTTTATTTCAAATACTGAAAAACTCCCCTGGGCTCTGTGGGGCTCCCCATGCTCACGGCCCCCTTTCCCCATACTCACTGCCCTTCTCCCCACAGTAAATCTGTTCCCAGGACATTTTTAAAAAATAAACAATTAACATTAATCGCATTCTCAGCTTGCTGTGAAGAACCACAGGAGCTATCTGCATCTGTCATATTTAGATGGACAGTTTCTTTTATCTGACAGCCGGTTCCCAGCCACACCCAAGCAAACACAGCATTTTTCTACAGAACTAAATTGGAAACCCACATCTTTAGTTCACTCCACCTCCTTCCCCTCACACCCACCCCACACCAGCCACATGGTTAAGAATAGTCAGGAATGTTATCAACTCCAAGCCCTAATTTATATTCCCCTAAATCTCCCATCCACCCTCTCAAACAACCCTCCCAGAACCCCCCCACCCCACCCCCAAGGATTTCACTGAGATTTCTCCCAACAGTTATTTGGAAAAAAGGTGAAACAAAAAAGGTTCAAGGTCTTGGTGCTCAGCCCAAGGGGCTCCATGCGCTGGGACACCGACGGGCAGGGGCTTCTGCCTCTCCAGCCCGCGCCCGAGCCACCTCCTGACCCCTGGCTGCAAAAGCAGGGAGGGGCAGGAGCCAGCACAGGACCCAGGGGGGCAGCGTCTCAGGATCTGGCGGAGCCCCGGGCAGCATCATTCAACTTGGCCACTGTGGATGAACACAGAAGAAGAAAAAGAAAACACTGTCAAGTAATAAGGGGAAAGCCTAAGTGCCATCCCAGTCTCTATCCCGTGATTCTTCCACACTTAACAATCACTAGGCCCACCTGGCATATGCCCGAATCCTATCCTTAGAAAATTTAAAGAGAGAGAGAATTTCAGTCTTATCCACAAAACAAATGTTTCTTCCTTTTTTGGAGAGACCCATAAAAACAAAGACAGAAAAACAATTCATTAGACGAGATCAAAATAACTGGAGGCTTGCAGGGGTGTATGCTGCCCCCTGGCTTGGAGCAGGCTCGGTTTCAGACGCACAGCCACAGCCACTTACAGCAGCGGAGACTGACGGTGGGCACACAGTGATGAGGTGGTAACCGGGCAGAGGCCAGGGCCAGACGACACACATGTTGTTTTGAGTGGATTTAATAATCTAGGTTTAATCAAAGCAACTGGGATTTATTTGGATTCTGACATGACCCTTCTTTGCCGTGGGAGTTATGTACTTCATGCTGTGGAAACACGTGGCAAATAATAGTATGTGGCTCGAGTCTCATTTTCTTATCCTTGAATACGACCAGATGAAGAGACAGAGAGACCAAGAGTTTTCTGATTTCCCTATTTCTTCTATTCCTTCCTAAAGCAGGCTCATTGTGACCTCTCTCAGTTTTGAGGACTCAAACTGACCAATAGAGAAAGTGGCTCAGACAGAAACGAAAAAAGTACAAAATTCGAGAAGATCGGAGATGAAGAAAACGTACAAAATTATATATATATTTATATATATAATAACATGACATATCTATGTACAACATGGCTGGGACAGTTGAGGAAACTATACAAGGATGTTCAGCATTTTCCCCTTCCCACGTGGACTTTAGACTAAGGAAGACAGCATGAGGAAATGGAGCAAGAAACACAAAAATTATATACAATTACAAGTGACAGTCAAGGAATCTGGGAGCCAAGGAATCCAGGGATCCTGCTCTCTCCACTCCTTCCTCACCAACTTTTTCCTATCCAATCTGAATGACAGCCTGGAAAGTGAATGGCCGGTCAGGAGAGAAGCATATAGACACCCCACCCCCACACATGCACGTTAAGCTCATCGGTCATTCTCATTGAGCCCAATGTTTGGCCTATCAGAATTTATGAGAGGGCAAGAGAGGATTACAGAATCTTCCTCTCTTGCTCGGTTAGTTCTGACCCTGACCCTCTCTTATAACTAGCAGTATGCATTCAGTAAGATTCAGGCCAAGCAAGTCATAACTAGATTGAAGATGCTGGCCACCTGCAACCTCTTTCCTCCACCTGGACATGAATCAGCATTGCCTCTTCTCATCACACAGGAGCTGGGTTACTGAGCTCTGGGAAAGCAGATTTCTGTGATCCTTCTCTCTCTCCTTTACCACCTTCCCCAGCTTTCCCCAGCTTTCCCCAGCGTGAATTATCTCCCAAGAACCTGCTACTCCAGCCCTGCTACAGTACTAAGCCCTAGAGGCTAGCTCAGTTCATCCCTTTTCTTCTTGTCTCACTAACAATACACTTGGCATCTGATTGCCTCAGAACACCAGAAACGGGGGACTCGACATGTGCATGACTGAGCATGTTTCCTCAGGCCCCAGCTCAGCTGCCAGAGCAGCCTTTTTAGCAGCGAAGGCCCAGATTGTATGCAGAAAGGTGGGCTGGGGCAGAGGCAAGAGCTCCATGGCTAGTTTCTTATATTTTTTTCTTTAACCCTAAGACCACAATACATATTCGGCCCTCTTGCCTGAATTCATAACCCCTCAAATCTCCACTTCCTCTCTCCCCATGTTGTCTTCCAATGGTTTCCCAGTGTAGGCTGCTCATCCATGGGCCTTCCATATTTTTAGTTTTACAATGAACAGCAGAGTTTTTCAACTGGCAGTTACAGGATTTTAAAATCAGAATCAATCTTATCCATATTCAACTCTATTTTACAGATGAGGAAATAAGAAATCTTGAGAGGTTTAATGACTTGACCAAGGTTACATATAACTTTGGCCAAGACTACGCAAAACTAGACCTGAACCCAGACATCTTGACTGCTGAACCAGTGCCCCATCCACTATCCCATAGTATGTTCAAAAGCAACACGCTGGGAGAGAGAGAAGGTGCCCATTTTCTGTGAATTCAGTTCTCCAATCCTTAAGAGCTAGGCAAACTGTAAGAGACACTGATTAAGAAGGGAGGCTAAGTAGGCATTGTAGTTTTTGGCAAGCAAACCAGTTTTTCCTTTTGAGGAGTCTCTAAACCTGCCATAATGGAAACATGAAGCAATAGCAGCCTAAGGGACAAAACACTTAGAAGCACAGAAAACAGATCTCATTCAATATAGCTTTCCCAACAATGTCAGGTTAGCCTTGGATGTTAAACCTGCCACATTATTCCCAAGGCTTAGCCTAACCAATTTGGAGACGTTCTCTTCCAAAAGGGGAAATCACGTCCCCCCAGTTTCTCGTACAGAAGAAAAAGAGAGTTTGCAGTATTATCCAATCCTAGTCTCCTATTTCTGGGCCCCTACTGGGCTACACTGAGGGTGTGGAAACCTCAATTTAACCAAAAAGAACTCAGAGTCCCTCTTCAACACACATTACCTTCTCAGCTGAGAAGATCTCTAACTAGGTGCCCACTCCATCCCTGCCTATGATATATAAAAGTCCAGTGGGTGAGGAAGGGGAGTAGAAGAGGGGCCCAGGTTACCCCGCAAGCTTGCTGGTGACGAGCGAAGACTTTCTCTGGGGCAGATCCTGCGGGGTGGGGATGTGGTCGCCAGTCACCAGGTTCTTGTCTGGTCCTGCACTTGGCAGCTGCTTATTCTTCATCTTGGCTTTGGCCATGTTGTAGTCTCCTGAGTCAAAGTACTTTTGCTAAGAGACAAGAAGGAGGTTTAGGTGAGTAAGGAGCACTGGCCATCCTCAAAAGCAAGGAGATCCACATCCACTCTCAGATCTTTCAAGTCTTCTATGATTGATCTCATGCACTATAGCTTAATATTAATTACATGTACTTTTATGTATTTTCCCCAAATGCATTGTTTCATGTATGTAAGCAGATTCCCAACTAGAGTATAGATTTTTGGAGTTAAGAGGCATCCTTTGTAGCCTCATCAGTATAGGATGATTCAACAAAATTACTGACTTTCCACAGAAAGGCTTACTGAGGACCTGTTAGACACCCCCAGGCTTGGTGCTGAGGAAACAGAAAGGACTAAGCTATAGAGAAGGGTCAACTTGGGACCAACCTAGCAATCAGCAGGAGATCAACCTCCAGCTACCAACCTCGAAATTGAAAAGTGTCTTCTCAGACCACAAATAGAAACTGGGTTTGTTCGTGATGATAATGTACTTTCCCTGACTCCCACTGCTCCCACACATGTTCCGTGGCTGTGCCAGCCTGCCCATGCCTGCCTTGCCTACAGCAAGGTAAACTGCAAATCAGCATCACATCATCATCTGTGACTAAGACTCAACAACTAGGATTCTCCACAGGGTCTGCTGCACTCTCCATTTCATCCACGCAGAGGAATACACTGCAGCCTATTGACTGACAATTCCTCAGTCAGCATTAGGTACCTCTGGGGACTGAGAAACCTGATCAGGAGCTAGATGGCTATGAAGGTAGACTCTCATTTGGTGAGGAGAACCACTATGGAGAAAAAAAAGTCTCTTAAAGGAGTAAATGGCAGTGCTAATTTTGAGGATCAGAAGAAATCTATTCATTTCAAATTGAGGAAATCTTCAGGACAGATGGTTTGATTTTTTTTTTTTCTGAAATGATGCACCCCCCCCCCCCAAATTTAGCTCTAATTCTATAAAGTACAGTCCTAAAATTCCCATCCTGACAGGCAAATGCTCAGGGCAGTCGGCATGCCAGTCTCTAACATCCTTCCCTCATCCTCCCAACCCCCATATCCAAATGCCCCTATTAAGCCTTAATATCCTATATGGGAAATCAGAAGATAACTGATATATCAGAGATTTATAATAATTTGCCTTGCTCATTGCAAGTTTCTAATTCCTTTCCACTGCTGCCCAACAACAAACTTGCAGGTTAGCATTCAGTAGAACCTCTACAGATCTCATTCCCTTTGGTTCCAAGTAAGAGAATAAGAGATTGTGTCCCATACCCCTTTCTGGAGTCTCTTCATGAGGAAGTCGGAGCCTCCAGGCTTTTGTCCTAGGCTTGGATATTTGGCCTTTAGCTTTGCCTCCTCGGCTTTCTCAGGGAGAATACCTTCTTTCTCCTGTGTGTCCTAGAAGGAACAAATAGGCCAATAAAATGAAAGACTGAGCCCTGGCTGGGTAGTTCAGTTGGTTAGAGTGTGGTCCCAATATGCCAAGGTTGCGGGTTTAATCTCCAGCCAGGGCACGTGTAAGAATGAACCAATGAATGCACAAATAAGTGGAACAACAAAATCAATGTCTTTCTTTCCCTCCCTCCCTCCTCTCTCTCTCTAACATTCAATAAATTTTTTTAAAAAGAAGGAAAATTAAAGACTAAGAAGTAACTGCTGCTAATATCTGATAACCTTTATACTACTTCTTCTGGAGATCCACCTACTTGTAAACATGCTATTTCCACTCTATTCTTAAATAAAGCTTTATCTTTGTTCAAATTCCTAAAGCTCAAGATTATTGTGAGAAGAAAAAAACAAGGTGCTTCACACACTACGCCCAGGGAACCACCTTGTTGACCTATGAGTATTGGGTTAAAGTTATCTAAACACAATACCTTAGTCACAGAACAAGCCTTTGCTCACTCAGCACAGAAGCTCGGAAAGACACAGAAGAGCCAGCCAAGGCTGTTGGTGATACATGAGTAGGAAAGTACTCTGGCTGTTCCTAACACACAGTATAGGTCAAAAGGGAAAGCGACAGAGACATAATTCTGCTGAAATGTTCCCTCCTTATTCAGAGTCTAAGATAGTCATGTGAGAAGTCTCTGTGGAGGAGGCTAGAGCTATGTGGCCTTCTCCTAAGATCTCCACTTTAGTAATGGGATGACATTGCTTCAGCATTTCCATACACATGTGGTAGAAAGGTGGTAGGTAAACAAAGATGAAAATGACACTATTTTTAATCTCAGGAAAAATTAAGATATAGTAGGTTCACTAGTTTTTACCCACAGATTTTGCCAAAAAAGTCAATGCTATCCTTATTGGGGCAAGTGATAGCAGTATTGGGAACATGCCAAGAGCTCAATTGGCTTGCAGGGTCTTTTACTGTTGTTACTTTTGTCTTGCTTTTTGTGGGCCCCACTGCCTTTTTCTTTACTGACTTTTTTTGAAAGGATCTAAAGCACATCTGTGGCTCTTTTTAGTGGAATTATATTCCCTTCCCCTGTAAATCCAGCACAGATACAACACCAGGTGTATTACATGAACCCCTGAGCCCAGTACTCAGTGTTGTAAGTCAAATACAACCCCCAAGAAGGCATTTGGCGTGTTTTCATCACGGAAATGTAGGTGGACTAAGTCCCACTGCCTTGGAAGTCTGGGGGCAATAGGGGGGCGTCTTTCTTGTCACGACTCTCTTGGTGTCCAAGTTTAACCGCTATTATTATGTATGGAACTCCAGTCCTCTTCAGTCTTGTTGAATCCTCACTGAAGGTGGGCAACGGATCAACCCAATCGTCGAAATAGGTCTCTTGAGAAATTTGCCGCCTTAAATTAGCCATAATTACTCTTCTCCCTCCCCGACAATGCTGGTTGTTTTTTAAACGTCTTTATCTCGACCTTTACATATATCTTTCGGAGGATTTAGGATGCAGGCCCCAGCCTGGTTTTGGATTATTTACCCCTAATAACCAATAATACACATCTCATTCCGGGACCACCAGCCCCCTTTCATTCACCCAGTCTTTCCAAACACCCACCCCGCACCCAAGCTCTACCAATTATAGCACAGCTTGCGGAGTTGAGCGGTAGGTTTATTGGCCAATCAGGAAGGGCTTGGCACTGACTGACAACAGACCCAACCAACCAGCGCCAAAACAGCGAGCAGCGTTGAAGCTCACCCTGCGTGACGTAAGAGGTGGCCAACCCCTGCAGAGCTTGAGACCATGGCGACCAATCCGCACTGGTGGGAGACCGTCTCCCACCCCACCACAGTCGCCCCCATCTCGTCCTCCCGCACCCCCTCCACTTCACCTGCTTCTCCTCGCCAGTCTCCTCCGCAGGGTTCTCCTCTTCTTGTTTCTGGGACATGGCGGGACCGGGACTGTGGAGTGTAGGGGACCCGGGAAGTCAGCCGGAGAAGGGAAGGGGGAGGGGAAATGGGGACAACCTGCGCTGCTCCTTCGGCTCCTGTCACTAGGGTTGCTCAGTCAAAATGGCGGCCCTTGCCTGTGACGTTGCGACCGCCCCTTCCTATAGTAACCAATAGGAGTGAGATACAGGGAGCAATGACGTAACAATCTACCAATAGTCGCTGGCTAAAGGTGGATTTTTGTGGAGGCGAGGGCCAAACTGAAACACCAACCTGGAAAGAGAGTGAGCTACAAGGACCAATTGCAAGCCCGTGGGGGATGTTAGGGGCGGTACTGCTAGCTTTGGCAAATTTGCTCCTTTGTTGGGGTCGGACTCCCAGAGCAACAGCGCCCCGTGTTCTGCGCTCCACGCCCAGGAGCATTTGGTGAACTTCAAACTGGAGAGCGAAAGCATGTAAACCTTTTATTTTCAGGTGGTGAGGATTAAGCCTTGCGCAGTGTTAGCAGAAAATTATCGAGTTCCAGAAAATAATTTGGAGGTCAGAGTGGACTTGAAAGAGGTAGTCATACGTTGTGTGGAACGGAGAGACTGAGTCTCCAACCTGAGTCTTTTGCAGAACACAAATAGGCTTACGTTTCATGATTTAGCTCATATACAGTGTTATACTTGTTTAGGGTCATCTCATGGATAAGTTCCTTGAAACAGCACAATTCTAGGTACATGGTAAACTTTAGTAAATATAGTTAATACCAGTTAACCTATTCTGAGTCACAGTTCAACAATATTTCTTGAGCATTTGTAGATGGCACTGTATTAGTTTTACAGTTTCATATATAGTAAGGCATTCACTGCCCTTAACTCAGTGGGCGTACGGGGAAGGTGTCCACAGTGTGTCAGGCGAACCCTAAATCCCCCAAATGAAATAGACCCATCTTCCTGGAGTGTTAGGTACATCATTTTTATATTAAAAACAAACTTTAGTCAAATACTAATAACACTGTAAAATTCGTATTAAAATTTAATTTTCCAGGCAGCTTTTTGTGACAGATAGTCTTGGCTATCTGTTCATTTTTCTGTACAACTAGGTGCACTTCTAAAGGAAAAGTTTGAGAAGCTCTGCAATACACAGATCATCATACAAGGCAAAATTTGGTAAGCATTAAATAAAACTGTTAATAAAGTGCTAGAGGGGCTCCAAGGAAGGCTCGTAGTTTAGGGTAAAAAAAGATTTTGTGATGGAAATGGTATTTATTTCAAATAGTTTTAAAGAACTTAGGAGTTTGCCAGGTGAAGATGAAGGAAGGAAGGACATTGCCGGTGATGGGCATAGCATGAAGGCTAGAAAAACAGAGTTGAGCCCAGAACATGGGGAACTTTAAATGCCATGATAAGGAATTTGTAAATAATTGAATAACCCATGAGAGACGTTTAAGGTCTTCAGGTCAGAGAGTGGCAGGTCAGAGCTGCTCTTTAGGAAGATTAATTTGGTGGTGATGAACAAAAAATAATTCAGAGTTCCAGATAGGGAGACATTAGACATCTACATAGGAGTCCACTGTAATACTCTAGGTGGGAGACAATTAGGATTTAAACTAAAAATATGGTAGTTTAGAACCAAAAACAATGAATGTATTTGAGAGAATCCCTGGCAGTGGAATCGACTAGATTAATAGCTGATAGAGTGTGGAGCGTAAGGAGGCCGTGTGCCTCAGGGTGACTTATCAAAATAATCAACAAAAGGAGTCATTTTGGGAATAGAGTTGGAAGTAGAAAGAAACTTAGGTGTTCAATTTTGGAAACTGCCTTTTTAAAAGCCAGTGAGCCATTTGGTAGCCATTGCCTGGGTAAATACCAGGCAATGAAGACTTAGGATAAATGACCTCTGAATGCCTCCATATCTAAAATTTTAGGGTTCTAGAAAATGTAAATCTAGAGTTTGGGAGAAAAGTAGAAGCTAAACATGAATACATTTTGGACCCTTTCACATAAATATTAGTAAAGTTGTGGAAGTAGATGGGATCACCAAAGGACAAAGTAGAAAAAAGAGGTTCCAAGACAGAAATTTGGGGAAAAGTTGGCAAGGGACACAGAGACAAATGATCAGAGTGGCAGGGAGAAGAACCAGGAGAGAAGTGACAGAGAAGTTAAAGATGGAGGGGACAAAAACTAATTGCAAGTAGTTTAGGAGTGCATAGGTGGTAGCAATATTTAACAGTAAAGCAAATGAAATTAGAGCAATGAGTTACAGAAGCAGCAGCAGAGGATTTTCTTTTTTAGACGGTAGGCAAGACTCAAGCATGTTTTCAGGAAAAGGGAAGGAGCTAATTGTAAAACTCTAATAATCTACTTTAAAGGGGAGGTAATGAAAGAATTAAAGTCTCAGAGGAGATCATTAGATCAAGAAGGAGAGAGGCACACAGTGGCTTTGGCAACTATAAACGAAGAGTGTGTGGGGGGAAAGTACAGATATTTTGAAGTGGCTAAACATTTAAGGAGGTCACATTGAATGGCCTTGCCTTTCTATCTTTTAGAATATAACTAGTGCAGCTCAGTGGATTGAGCACTGGCCTGCTAACTAAAAGGTTGCTAGTTTGATTCCCTGGTCAGCGCACATGCCTGGGTGTGGACCAGGTCCCCGGTTATAGAAAATAGTAATCATTCAAAACAGCAAGAAAGACCTACCTGAGATAGATAAGTATGTATTCATGGTAGGTAGTCCCAACCAGCATGGCTTTGTGACTTTGGTCAGTAACTCTGGTTGCATTGGAATGGAGAAACCAGACAGCCAGAGTTACCTGGGTCAGAATGGTAAATGAGGAACAGAGGAGAGAGGACAATGAGGAAGTCTGATTGGTTTGCTGGTTTGTTGGGATAGCTGACCACAGCAGCTGGGCTCTTTAGGAAAGACAGAATGAGACTGATGAATTGGGAGAATAGAAAGGGATTGACCAACTGGTCATGAGACAGATGAAGCTCAGATTTGGTGGGAGTGACTGAGAGGCAGAAAAGTAGGAGGTTGCAGTGAGAGACAAATTTCAGTTTGTGTCTAGGAAGGTGGAGAAATTATAGGTTATCATGAGCTCTAGCCTATGATAATTGTAATTGGTGGCAGATATATGGCTATAAAAGCCACTGATGTTGATGCAATCAAGTAAATGTTACAAATGTTGAAGTCTCAGAGTGTAATGATAGGCAAAAAGGAGGTTAGGACAGGGTGACTCTGACCCATGTATTGGGAATGAGTTGTAGGTCTCTAACAGATGTGTTTAGGAATGTAAAGCACCATACTGTGTTACTTAAGTTGTGAAGAAACAACTACAGTATAGGGAAGGTATGACACTTACCAAATGAGTTGTATGTATAGCATTTAAAAAGATCATTTCTGGCGGAGCTGGTCAAGGAATGTTTCAGACCAGGTAGTACCGAAGCTGGGACTATGAGGATAAATAGCGAGGTTGGAAATTGGCATGGGGAGTGAGGAACAGTTTGGAAGACCACACCTCTTTATAAAATGTTGGAGGGTGGCTACCCATGACTGAGGACAATGGAAAAGGGAGAGAGAAACTACAGCAAGAGTAATGAGTTCCCAGAGGGAGAGAGATTCTGCTAGCTCAGGAAGACTCCTCTTTTATCCAACAGATTTAATTTAGCAGTCATTATGTGCTTATTATGTGCTCATTATGTGCTCATTATGTGCTGGGCACTGTGGACGCAAAAATAAAAGGGGAGTCTCTGTCTTCAAGTCGTTCGGAGATGAGTGAGGGGATAAGAGGTAAAAGCAATATCACAGTGGAGCAGGGTATTAAGGGCAGCTTCCTGGAGTGAATGACATTTGAAGGAACTGTTGAAATATTCAAGGTAAAAATAAAACAGGGTACACAAACACTTTTCAGGGAAAGGGAGCCTCGTGTTAAAAGACACAGAGCCTTAAGAAACTGGATGAACTAGGTCCTTGGTTCCCAGGAAACTTTATAAAAACCCAGATTTCCTTAGCCCCTTTTTATCCCAATTGTATTAGCATCCCTGAGTTGGGGTCCAGAAATCTGTATTTTTGAAATGCTTCCTAAGGAGAGACTGCAAATATGGCTGACCTTGGAATGTGTGTGGAATAGCAGGACATGATGCTGTTCAGGTTGCTGGGGTCTTAATATTATGGGAAAAACTTGGTTCTCCTTGCTGATGCAGTGAAGAATTGCAGATCAGCAAGCCTATTAGTGTGCAAGCCAGGTTTGTTGGTGACACGTTCTCCTATGAGAACAGGCCTTGTTGAGGTGAAGGGCGAAAGGCATATACTCAGGGCAGGGCAAGGTAAGGGGCTGCAAGAGGCAAGGGTAACCAGAGCAGGGGTGGCAAGAGCATCGGGTCCTTTGTTCTGAGGACTTACATAGTTGGCAGGATGGAGTGAAGAAGTTACATATTGATTAACAGGTAAAGGTGGTGCCAGCTTTCCTGGGGGATGTGACTACCCAAACGTAGGTATGTGTGGGAGTCTGTCAGCCTGAATCCTTATCTTGCTCCAGACTCTATGTGTTCATCTTGTTGTAAAACACATACGTGACAGGAGGCAGTTAACTCAAGTTGGGGCAGTTACCCAAAGTTACTTATGAGCTCTTTCTGTAAGCATTAGGGACTCCTTGTAAAACAGAATGTGACTAGAGGCAGGTAGTTAACTAAAGTGGTTTTATGGGCTGCTTCTTTGGGCACAGTGGGCCCCTCCTTCTTTCCCCTTCCAGGCCTTGGGATGAATACACAGTTTCAAGGCTTTCTTTCTCAGTGGAAACGGTACAAAGAATTTCAAGGACTGCCCTTCTCCCGTGCTAACATGGTGTTTCTTGTCTTGTCGGAACACCTGGCAACATTATCACCAAGCTCAGGCCTGCTCAGTTAGTAGGTGAGACACGCCTCCCTCCTCCCTGCCTTGGTTCACTGTCTATTCTACCTAACACTAAGGAAACTTGTAAGTCATGCTAAACTGTAGGGATTTAACGAAAACAAAGGGAGACCTTTGATTTCAAGGAGGAAAATGGTATTGGGGTGGGATTTGGAAAGATTTCACTTTGGTAGCCACGTGGAGATTGGGCTGCAGTGGAAGAGGGAGACCTCTATGAAGAGGGAAGAGCTGGATCTCT